CTTGTTTTGAGAACCTTTGGCTCAGTTCCACAGGTGGGTCTGCTTTGGTGTTCCCAAAGTGCATGGCTCAGCCTCATTCACCCAGAGGCAGAAGCACAGAGGAAGACCATTTGTCATCAAGGGTATAGGATTCCACGCCACAGCTTAGCCAATAGAGTTAACCTTTATCATCATTTTGATACAGGGGCTCATGCAGGCCAGGCTGGCTTCAAACTCACTATGCAGTACATGTGAGGGCTAATCTTGGCTATCAACTTGGTTACATTTGGATGCAATTAAAACCCAAGAAGCTTGGTACAGCCATGAGGGATTTTCTCAATTGGATCACTTGAGGTGGGAAGATCCACACTAAATTTGGATCATTTGAAAGGTGAAGACCATTCCAAATCTGGGTTACATCTTCTGGTGGCAGCCCCCACATAGGACACGGAAGAAGGAAGCTTTCTCCTTTCTGCCTACTTGTACCCACTCTCAGTGGCAAGTTCATCTATCCTGCTGTCAAGACATTCTTTTGCTTGGACTAGAGTCTACTTCTTTGGGATTCCAACATAGACAAGAAACCAGCTGGGACATCCAGTTTGAACCACTCTCAGACTCTTGGCCTTTACATCATGAGACAGTAATTGTTGGACCAATCCCGTGTGTGCGTGTGTGTGTGTGTGTGTGTGTGTGTGTGTGTGTGTGTGAAAGCAGCCTACCAACTTAGCTTATCCCTTGTTCAGAGTTTGAATACAAACGTGAGCAGGAGGGTGGGAACTTAATGCTCTTATTCCACTGCAATTTAAACATTGTAGAGACAGTTGCCATCAGTGCTCTAGAAAATGCAAAAAAATAAAAAAACCCCAAAACAAAACCAACCAAACAAACAGAAGAACTCACTTGGGAATTACTAGCTCACATTAGTCTCATGAGCTGAATCAGTTTCTAAGAGTCCTGAACCTCGGTTTCATGGCTGCTGCGCTCAGGCCTCAGACTCAGGTGCACATCTTCCTTGTCACAAAATGTGTATTGAACCCTCACAGTGCAGCACATGGCTCCCTGGGAAGACTTATACAGGTCTCTTCTTCCATTTCTGTACGTGCTGCCCACTTTCTTACAACCACTCTGGATTATTTCCATCTTTATCCAGCTCCCCAGCCACAAGGGCCCTCTCAAGGCAGCAAGGCAGGGGTTTTAAGAGAATGCCAAGTTGTTGTGCTTGTCTTTGGTTCAGTCAAGCTGAATGCTGGCTGCATCTTCAAAATGCCTGATATCATGTGTGTTCAGATGAATGTGCACATGTGTATACATGCAGAGGCCAGGGGACAGCAATTTCCATCCTCAGATGCCATTTCTCAGGGGGGCAATCTACCTTCCCTCCCTCCCTCCCTTCCTTCCTTCCTTTTTTCTTCCTTCCTTTCCTTCCTTTCTCTCTCTCTTCCTTTCTCTCTCTCTTCCTCCCTCCCTTTCCCTCTCTTTCTTTTTTTTCTTTCTTTCATTTATTTATTTAGACAGTCTCTCTCATGGGCCTTGGGCTGGGCAGCCAGAGTCCTAGGGAATCTTCTAGTATCTTTGTCTCTGACGCTGGGATTACAAGCATGCCACTATGCCCTGCCTTTGCACATGGGTTCTGGGGATCAAACTCACACCCTCATGTTTGCAAGGCAAGGACGCCATTGCTGAGTCATCTCTCCAGACCCGGGGTCATTGAAACTGATGGCTGAGTTCTAGTCTAGGCATCTGACTCCCAGAAGCTCATTCTCAGTGGATATAGGCACAGTGGCGGTTGAGAATGATCCATCTCAACCCTCTCTTCTACTTTATTTGATCAGAGGCCCCCCGAGGTGATGGTGTCTTTGTCACTCTGTTGTACACGATTGGTTCTTGGGGCTCCTTCTCACTCTCTGAAGCCTCCCTAAGACTGGGTGGCCCCAACGATGTTCTCATCTCATTTCACCACATTAGAGCAGGCTGGGGCGAGGTAGGTGTGTTTCTCTTCTCTTCTAGGGTGATCAGGTGCTGCCTGGTTGATCATCAACATGGGGTGTGGCAGGCTTCTTGAGGGGATCCAGGAAAGGATACCTAGGTGCTACGGCTGGCCAGAGGTGGTTTGAGTATAGGGGTGAGAGACTTGGGGGGGTGTTGGAAAAAGAAGTCTCTACTGTGTCTACAGCTTCCACGTGTGCAAGTTCAGCGGGATCATTTAAATTGTCAGCTGCTTGAAGGACTCGCCAACCCTAGAAACTGGTTAAGTGTGCTCTCTTAGCCTTATCCAGTGATCTCGGGGCAAATACTTGGGTTTAGAATGGCATTTATGCCCTCAAGAAATAAGATCAAAGCTGGGCGTGATGGCAAGCAATTGTAACTCCAGCCTGGGCTGCATGAAAACCTGCTTAAGGAAAAAAAATAAAGTAAGCCAGATCAAACAAAGAAGGAATTGTTTTATGCACATGTGTGTGGCTTGCAAAAATTATGAAACTTGGAAGTTATGGGTCTGAGCTTGACCTTGGTGGATGAAGACGGAATGATTTGTCTGTCAATATTATCATCTGTAAAATGGGTGGCAATACAAGCTGCAGGTGTGGGATGAAATACCTGCTCTCCCCAGAAGGTGGCAGCACACACAAGACTTTGCAGTCACTGGTTCTTCATTTTCTCTAGCTGGGACCCTTGGAGGGAGCTTGGGTATGCTCCCAGGTACTGTCCTCACTTCTTGCCCAGATATGAGGGCTACAAAGGGATCTGAAGGGACAAAATATAGGATGTGCCGACTGAAAGTTCTCCCTGAGGAAAAGGCTTTCGGCTCCACTAACCCTTTATTCACTCCTCCAGACCCAAGATGAGAAAATAAAACTGGAGGAATCGTGACCATTGGCCATTTCATATGTAATTTTGTTCTTTCCCAAAAAGAGAGTGTGAAAGATGCTTCTTGTTTTGCCTAAGTGTTCCAGGGTCTGACCAATTGCTGTGGACTGTTGGAAGTCAGTAATGGTAGTGACCACTGCAACACAGTCCAGATGACCCGCAAGTGAATAAACAACCCCAGATCGAACTGGAGTCTGCCTTTACCCCCGCGCAGCCTGCATTCTAGCTCTCTGTCTCTCTGTCTCTGTCTCCCCTTCTCTCCCCCTCTCTCCCAGGGTTTCACAATGGTAGCTCTGGTTGAACTGGTCTAGCACTTGCTATGTAGACCAGGCTGGCCTCGAACTCACAGAGATAAGCCTGCCTCTGCCTCTTGAGTGCTGGGATTAAAGATGTGTGCCACTACCACCTGGCCTTCATTTTTACAAATTACAATTATTTTGTATGAGTTCACATGCTCATGGTGTGGTGCATTGTTGAGCTCAGAGAACACCTTGGTGGAGCTGGGTCTCTCTTCCCACCATGTGGATCCCTGAGTCAAACTCAGGTTGCCAGGTGTGGTGACAGGCACCCTTTCCCACTGAGCAATCTTGTCTGCCCCTGGACTTAATTAAAAATTCCAACTGTGGATTAGTGAATAGAGCACATTTTTTCTTTCTAACGATTTCATGATTGCTGCCTAGGATTGATTGCCAGCCCCAAGGAAACTAATGTACTAATGTTATAAACCAAGATCTGGCATGGGATGAGACGGTCAAAGTCTTTTCTGGCTCTCAATCTTTGCATAGTTGAACCATGGGTGGAAACTCTAAATTTGCAACTGGCTACATCTCACTTTAGGCCAATCAAGCCAACTGGCCTCACCCCAGACCAAAAAAGAAAAAAAAAAGAGTATTTTTTTCATAACCTCCCTCATGACCCCAAGGGGTAGCAAGGCTTAAAACCATTAGTTTATCTTGTGGACAGAAATTTACATTCTCAGTGTTGCCAGCACCCTTCTCTTTCCCATGAAAAGGGGACCTTGGGGGCTGTGCGCTTGACTACTAAGAGCCCAGGTGGAATAGCTTCCACTGTGTGAGAGAATTGATGGGGCTGAACCACAGCCAGCACGCAGAGACCCGACCGTTAGGGAGGGCTGGTGCTTCTCTGTGCTGACTGAGTCGCTGTGTCTCCTTTGATCATAACAAGGAAGGGGTCCTTGTTCTGGGAACTCCCATGTTTTTACAAGGGGGCATCTTTGTCCCTTATCCGCAGATGAGAAAGGAGAAGCTGGGGGCAGGTAATTGACTGCTAAAAAAAGATTTGAGACAGGATCGTTTGGCAGAGCTCAGCATTGAAAGCGAGCAAAACTCCACAGGGAATGTTCAGAAAGAATTGACAGACAGGCTGCTTTCTGAAGCCCGGCTAGGAATGTGGCAGGATCAGGGCATGACTGAGTTGGTGATTCTCCCAGCCTCAACCAGTTTCCCAGTCAGGAGACAGCCACATGGTAGCCCAGATGTTCTGTCAGTGGTGGCTTCATTGGAGGTCCCTATCTGGTGGACTTGAGGTGATAGCAGAGAGGAAATGGCACGAGGAGTGAGCATTAGAAAGGGTCTCTCTGTTGACCGCTGCAAAGGCTATCCACCTTGGGATTTAAGGCAGCGGCAGTCATATACAAATCCTGCATTCCCCATGCTTGCTAATGGTTGTGAAGTCAAAGAGCCACGTGTCTTAGAGGACCTCACAGGGGCAGGCTTCATTCTTAGCTTAAATGGTCAGAGCTCCGTGATTTAGAACTATGAAAGCCAGATTAGTAGGAGAAAACAAAGATTTTTTTTTTTCAGTTTTCCTCAGTTTATTTCAAGAGAACAAAGAATCAGCCATCAAATTCTGTACAAAAACATGGTGTTAGAGTGTGGTGACCAACAGGCCAGCTAGCCCCCTTCCCTTGCCTAAGTCCAAAGCTTCCCCTAATTTAACAAAAACAGGACCCAACCCCCTACCCCCACACACAAAAAGCTAACAAATTCTGGAAAAAATTATGAAAAATTAGGGAGACCCTCCTTAATTGTCTTTCTTCTTACTACCAATCCAGGGACTTGTGGGGAGGATCGTGGTCACAGCCAAGGTGGGCAGGCAGGCATTGGCAGACGTAGTGTTTGGCAACTATGGGGCTGGGGTGGGATCTTGGAGGGAGACAAGTGGCTTAGAGAAGGAAGTAGACCTCCACTGGCCCTGGTCCAGAGAACACTCAAAACACAGTTTATAAAAAATCAGGGCCAGGGTAGAAGAGAAAAAAGTCATCAGAATCAAAAACTAAACAGTGGAAAGATTTGTTTTTTTGTTTTTCTTCTCTAAAAGGCAAAAGGCTACAAACAGCTCAGGTCCTGAGCTCCCCAGGATAGGGGTCTTCCACTGACCCCAAAACCCAGCTGGAGGGGTGGGGAGCCAGGAGAGGCGAGCGCTTTAAAAAGCCAACTCTGGATGAGAAGGCCTTGATCTTGAGCAGCCTTCTCTGCCTCCTGCCCTGCCTCGGTGAAGGCTGGTGAGGCCAGGGCTATGCCGGTAAGCTCAGCTTCTTCCCCTTGAGGACTTTGGTGATGTAGAGGTAGAAGAAATCGCAGTAGAGGACTGTCTGGACCAGGCCAGCAACAATGGCGATGAGGTCAAAAAAGCCCTCAAAGTGGTAGCGCCAGATCCAGTTGAAGAGATAGAGCGTGCGGTAGAAACCTAGTGCGAACAGGTAGTGGCTGGTGATGGTCTCCGCCTCACCCGTCTTGCTCACCATGAACAACTGCGGCAAGATGGCCACTGACTCCAGGTAGATGGAGAAAGTCCAGAGGATCTCCAGAGGGGTGAAGTCATGGTTGACCAGGAATGCCAGAATGGCTGTGGGAACAACGAGGAACTCCACGCGGAAAGTATCGTGGTTCCCGTCGTAAGTAGCTTTAAACTTGCTGTATATCATCCACACCGTGGTAAAGGAACAAGCTATGTAGACCACCTTCATGCAGGTGTTGTAGAGTGAAATGTAGTTGGTGAACAGGTCCAGGTATCGGGCAGTAAACACCACAGCAAACAGGACCTGGCTCTTCCCTGAAATGCCCGCACACGATCGGGACTTCCAGATTTTGAGCAGTAACAAGATGATGGCTAGGAGGTGGGAGAGGTCTCCCAGGAATCGGAAGAGGTTCATGACTGGGGAGCTCGGGCAGGACTGAGCTGGGGGAAGGTTGGCCAACCGGGCTGCCCCGGAGCTGCGGTGCTGCTGGGCTGAGGGCGGGAGAGGAGCCCTTCGGTAGCTCAGCTCCGGGGAGGGGGCTCTGGGAGGTGAGCCGAGGCCGGAGCTGGTGGCAGAGCTCCAAAGATGTTTTAATATGTGTATTGTACATATGCACGGGAGCTCATGGGAATTATATTATATTAAATCCCGTGTCTGTTATATCAGGGAAAGAGCAATGACTTTTCGGAGAAGTGACTATGTTAGCTAGTAAGTGTAGCAGGCATCTGCACTGCTACTCCTTCAGGGTGTCCTTTCCTGTTTCGTCAGCTGAGGCTTTTCGGAGAAAGTTGAGCATGCCCCAAAGGGTTCCTCTGCTGTTTCAACCCTTTAAACACAGGTTCCAAGCCCTCAAAATATATGCCTGCTACTTTTTCCTTTTGAACTAATATCTGAAACTGAGCATGCTCAGGGCCTTTCTAATGACCATATAGGATCCTCTAGCAAAAGCCCCATGCTTCGTTTAGAACAAGATGAAGGAAAATGACTTTGAGCTTCATGAGCACCAACTTGGGGGAAAGCAAACATGTGGGAACTCACGACAAATAGGGGCTAGTTGGCAAGGTTTGCCGTGTAGACAAGGTTTGCCATGTAGACCCTGCTGGGGCCATATCCGTACTGATTTCTGGTCATTGTGTCTGTCTGCTTTCAAAGTTCTCTCTGTCTCTCTCTCTGTGTCTCTCTCTCTCTCTCTCTCTCTCTCTCTCTCTCTCTCTCTCTCTCTCTCTCTCTCTCTCTGTATCTATCTGAGGCCAGAAGAAGGCGCTGGACCAGGAATTGCAGGAGGTTGTTAGCTATCTGAGTGCTGAGAAGCAAACTCAGGCTCTCTTCAAGAGCAATACTGAAGACAGTTTTTCTTATACTGGTTTTTGTCAGTCTACTTCAGGTCAAAATAATCTCTATGTCAAAGTGTGTGTGTGTGTGTGTGTGTGTGTGTGTGTGTGTAGCTGTATATTTTACTATCTACTCAGCAGTGCAGGTGAGACTCGAGTATTAAGTCACCAGTAGTCAGAATCCTGCTTAAGGACATTCAGGCCTAAGATGCCCAATGTCTCATAGACAGGATAGAATGGATTTCCCAGAATGCAAGTCTCTAGGCTAAGGACATAGACTTCTAGGCGCTCTGCCCACTCTCTCTGGACAATATTCTTTTTCTTCTTTCCCAAGTGATAGACAGCTATACCCATGTTTTACAGATAAGAATGGGATTGTCTTATTTTACCATTTGCATCTCCTTCATATAAGCCTGGTTTGGAATAATCACTTTGAGCCAAGAGTGACGTTTTTCATCCTTAACCATGACATAAAGGCTAACTGCAGGCTTTTGTCTTTCTTAAGTTCCCTGCAGCTCCCAAAGGACCAAGCTCTTTTGAGGGATGTCTGGAGATGGCAGCAATAATCATGAGAATCCACCAATATATATGGCTTCTTAAAGACTGATTTCAGAGTTCAGAGGACAGAATATCTATAGAGATTGGTGTGATGGCCAGAAAAGAGGTTTTTGGAGCTAAATACAAAGTAAGTCTGTTGAGGGAATTGGCTGGCTGGGAAAATGGCTGTGGGCAAAATGACTTTCACTCAGCCAGACCATGACTCCTCAGCCCCTGTTTAGTTGGCAAGGAGTTGAACGGCCATCTTGCAGGCCATATGTTAGAGGGAACTGTGGTTACAGGACTCAGGGAACGGTTTCTTCCCATTAGAAGGCCTCTAGCTCCCTTTCCATCTTAAAAGGATTTGTCATCAGCTATGATGCTAGCTCTGTGGCTTTTTATAGCACACTTTTATTGCTTCTAAGATGAGACTAATGCTCACATAGCAGGACTTGGTAGATTAAATGCGTTAGTAGGTATAATGTAAATGTTTAGGAAGAGTGTTTGCATAGAATTAAATAACTATTATTGCTGTGGTCATTGTTAGATCACGTTATTGAATTATCTCAAAACCTAAAAAAATAGAAATGGTTTATTTCTGGTGAGGCGTTGTTTTCAGAAAGTTAAAATAATTCTTACATGAGCATAAAATGAATGCACAACAAGGTTTTAGTTTACTGTAGTATTAATAAAAACTATTATAATGGTAACACTGATTCAGAAACCATTTGAGGAAATAGGTAGTTTGTAGGTGACAGAAGGGTGAAATATAAAACTGGGTAATGTGAATAGGGCATAAATTACAGTCTTTATGCAAGTAGGTACTATAGGATGGAAAGTGTTGGAAACCCCACTGAACAAAAGTTTACAATGACTTGGATTCTGCAGAGTTGAAAAATAGATATAGCACAGCCTTGAAAATCCCCTTTCTTTCTTCAAATTTGTAAAGAAAGTTTATGGTTGTTAGGTCTCAGGTGGTGGCATAGGTCCAGCAATGATAGCCTCGGCTTAGCTCAGACTTGATTATTGAAGGATTTCTGGTAGTTAGATAAAAGCGAGCATTCCTCAGGAACTTATAAAATGGGTTTCTCATCTTCCAAAACAAATCACTTCCCTTGCCTCAGGCAGGAGGAACATGACTGTCCATTGATATGCACCTATGTTTGCATATCAAAGTCCATGCTAGACTCCAGGCTCTTTCAGTTCCTATTTACAACTTATACCAATTTACAATGCACACCAGTTATACATTTTGCAGTTCACGTTAGCATTCTGGCCCCTCAGAACAGCCACATCTACCCTAGACTCCCAGACTGCTGCAGTTACTAGGGCTTCCCTCCTCCCCAGATACCCATTTATTTTCTGTATAATGTCAAGTTTTCCCCCATCCTGCTATTGTTCCCTCACTTTTCTTGTAGTTAGCCCAGGACATGTTTATCTGGCTTCATTTTCTCTCTTCTCTAGACTCCTCCAGACACTTCTGGATGTTCCTTCTCTCCTCATCTACAATAAACATTCCTCCTAATAATGGGGTGGTCATTTAGTGGTTTATTTGCTGTGCCCTTGCATATATCTGTAGAAAGCGAAAACTAATTTACAACAAGCCAAATATCTTGGGTAACTCTCTATGACTAGAAACAGTACACGTGGAAACTAAACACCCACCAATCCATGTTCTTCTCTCAAGTGAGACCCCCTCCACTCAGTAGAATCCACTCCTTTAGGAGATGATCATAGAGGGGAAGAGAGAAGGAAACACTTAAGAAAACATAGAAATTTCTCAGTTCCCAGATTGCAACTGGGTTTCCAATCTTCCCACCATTTGTGGGAACATGTCTCCTTTTGAGAAATTTACTAAATTTGAGATCACAGTAAGTGGTCCAAGTATGTGTGAAACCATGTACAGGTTCCTATGCTATTTCTGAATTGAAAAAATAAATTTATGGCTCATTTTATAACTCAATATACAATATTCTCCTTATACTAAGTTAATACAATTACTTTCAAGTGGAAATAATTAGTTTATTCTATTCAGAAAAAAAATGTTTTCCAGTTTTTACAAACACCCTTTTCCTAGTCACTCCTAGCAAGATTAAAAACTGTCATAAGATGAACTTGAAGTAGAGGCAGGTGGTTGCTTCGTTCTTCTTAGCTTTGTCAGAATTTGTCAAAGCATGATATAAAGCAAAAATTCACCAAGTGGTTTAGACTTATTTATGGTTCAAACCAAATGAAGCAGTAAACTAAAAATTGAACAAATCACATTAATTGGTTTTAAAAGTAAAGCAAAACAAGCAGTTTCTTTTTTCCCCCAAACCAACAAATTCATTTAAACTATACTGGGTAGTATTGAGATAGGAAACTTATTATCTTAGCCACTGACACACAAAAAAGTAAGGAGAATACCGCCTTAATTTAAGGAAACTTACACAATCCATTCATGTCCAGGAGCTAAGGCCTGGGTGGTGTGGACTGGATGGAGCTCAGTCTTCACATGACCTCGGAGGGGTTGTTAAACAGTTTCTCACTACTCTTTTGCTTGGGATGGATCCTTATAGCTGAAGAAATTATCAATAGGAAGACAAATACAAGCTCATTAACAGACATATTTCATGTTAACATTGGAGATAGCCAGAATGTGATAGTTCTCAAACTGTGTCTTAGACCTCTTCAATAAAGGACAGCTCATTTTTAGAGAAATGTAAAGATGAAGGAAAAGACCTTTTCTCCAGGGATGGGAGCTTGTGGGGGACAGTACGCACAATGAGGCAGTTAGGTTTGTTCTGAAGGTTCGTGTGGTGGTGAATCTAGGCTGGTAAGGTCTACCGTGTCTTCAGTGATCACCCTTTGTCCTGGGGAAGTTCACTTGGAGACACAGCAGATTGGCATGTTGATTGTTCTGAATTAAAATCTCCTGAAGGTCAGTAAAGGCTAAGTTTTATTTTGAGAGTCCCTTCCCTGCACCAAAACTGGATCACCAGAGGGAGCACAATTGCTTTCCCTTCCCGCTCCATTACTGAAAAGATGACTGAGACCCTAGCTAAATCTGGATGGAATTTGTCACATGCTAATGTCTGTCTTGAAGGTTACTCAAATTTCAAAGAAAAAAATTAATTTGCCTCTTGCATTCATTCATTCTCTCTATTACTGTCGTTATGGAATGTTCTCATGTAATGCTGTCTTAGGAAGTTCGAGTATTTTGTACATAGGAGATGTCTGGCAAACAGGATTGTAGTCACAGTTATATGTAGCCTGTCTTGGTTATGGTCAAAATCTCTCCTCTCTGCTCTCTAGTGGGTAGCAGTTAGTACCAGGGACTGGGGTATTTCTGTGACAGGTCTGACCATACGGTTTTTTTGGGGTGGGGAGAAATATGGAAGACTTTGGACTAGAAACACAGTTGGAGGCTTTAAGCATGGCTTAATTGGCTATTCTAGTAGGAACATGGACATCAGTACTGAGGGTGATTTGAACTGTGGGGGCCCAGCTTAAGAAGTTTCAGAGGGGAAGAATATTAGCAGGTGGCCTAGAGACCATTCTTGTGATATTTTGGCAAAGAATGAGGCTGTTTTTTGTCCTTGTCCTAAAAAATCTGCCTGAGGCTAAATTGAAGAGTTAAGGATTAATGGTTTTGACAGAGAAGACTTCAAGACAGCTTAGCATTGACTCTATCCCGTGATTATTAGTAATCACTCTTCTGCGACT